TCATCCCTCCGGTCCTTTTGGGGACCAGGAAGTAGCGTGAGTAAAACCCTGTGTTTTCCTCCTCGTTGGGAACTCTTGAGATTACACCTTTTATCAGAAGCTCTTGGACTTCTGCATTTAAGGCTGAGACTTGGTCTGGTGATGACAGGACCGTCTCTATAACTCCTCCGAACGGAGGGGGTCGGGTTGCAAACTGCAGCGTGTAACCCTTGCATAACACTCTGTCCATCCATCTGTCCGGTGAGCATGTTTTTAGCCACTCTGCGTGACGTTCGTGGAGTGGACGTGCGTTTAAATGATGTGCCGTGTTTTGAACGGATGTCATCCAAAAACTCCGCCTCGACCGCCGTCATGCGTCGCGGAAATGTTTTCCGCGTGACCCAAGGCGAGGCTTCCTCGAAAGGGCTGTTCTGCGCGCGCCCGTGCGCTGTGTCTGGATCGCGAGCCAACCTTCATGTCCGGGCGGGGCGGTGTGCGCTGAGGCGAGGCGTGTGTCAGCTTATGACGTCGAGAGGCTGCACGTTTAACGTCGCTGTGCGAACGTTGAGAGGTGGAGGGCGTGACGTCATCAACGCCGTGCTGTCGAAGTGAAGGTTGTGAGCCTCGCGGGAGCGCACGTTTCCTCTGGAGGGACGCGCGCCGCTCTCGCTGAGGGCGGGGCCCGTCATTGGATTCATTCAGCTGTCTCACGCTTATGTCGCCGTGAGCTGCCGATCGCTGAGACGCGATGGATGACGGCCGCTCGCGTTCATTCAGGAGAGGCGTGTGTTGTTTTCGCTGAGAGCGGGGACCTCCACCGGACCCGGCCTGCGGTCCCACATTTATCCCGATGTGAGCCGGTGAGCGCCGGGCAGCTGTGCGTGCATCATCAACACAGCGCCGTTTGGATGGAGGCTGCTTGTCTCGCTCGGGTGCGCGTTTAACACCGTTTGGGTGGTGATCGTGCGGGTCTGATTGACAACAAGTTATTTCGCTTACCGTGGTGTCACGTGAGCGTCTGGGCATGTGAAGGAGCGGCGGTGGGTTTAAAAAACCTTTATTTAAGGCCACCGGCTCTCTCTGTGTGGAGGATGTGTGTGTAGCGGCTGTGAGCTCATCCGAACTTACAGACTGGCTAAAAACAGGCATTTTGATCTTTGAAAAATCATTTATTTCACTTCCTGTTTCATTCATACACACATCCTCCGCAGACCGTCATTTCTTAAACCTTCTCCCTCGTGAGCTCTGCGGTTTGTTTGCCCCGAGCGCCGTCTGCAGGCGATCTCTGGGGAAACGCTGAAGTGCAGGCTGCCGGACTGAGGAGGGGTGGTCTCTGGCGGGCGGGGCTGGGGCGAGACGAAGCTGCTGCTGCCGTGGAGCGTCGATGTTTCTGCCTCTGCTGTCGACGATCTCTCCAGCGGGCTGGGGGACGGGATGAGCCGCGCGGCTTGATGAGATGGCGTACCGCTTCCGACATCTCCTCCGACTGCTTCGAATTTGTGAGCATGGTCGTCAAGCTGCTTCCGAACAGCGCGTCCGATGAGATGGGGCCCTCCATCAGGTCCTTGTGCAGCTTTTCCGGCAGCAATGGAGAGTGACGGAGCCAGATGGAACGTTGGATTACCGTCATCCACGCTGCAATCCTCGACAGGCAAACCGTGGAAGCGGCGCACATGTTGAGGACGCCGTCTGCCGATTTACACAGGGAGCTCTTTGTCTCCTCCGGCAGGTCTGAGGCCTCCAGCCTTTTCGACATGCTAAATGCTAACAGCGCCACGTTGTTGTTAGCCGCAGCCGCCTGAAAAGCACACTGGTGGGCTCTGTTGGAGAGCGCGGTCGCCACCTGGTCGTGTTTCCCCGGAGGGACGGGACGCTTCTCTAGCCTGGACATCTTCGCTCCGAAGGCTTCCGCGAGGCTTGGCTCAAGGGGGGGTACCGAGGGATAGCCCCGCTCGGTGAATCCCTCAACTCTGGTGATGGGAGCGGACTGGGGACCGACTCCTCTAATCTACCAGGAAAGAACCGTCTGCGGCCTCGCCCGTCGAACGTCCTGTTGGAACGTGAGGCCGTATGGATCAAGACGGTGAGCCACAGTGGAGCCCAGTGAAAAACAACCTTTCCGCCGATCATCCGAACTGGCGGGAAAAGGCGAGGGACGTAGAAAAAAGGGGTCCCTTCATGTCAGCCTCCTCCTGGGTTCCGCCGGGCAACCTCTGAGGGCGCTGTCGGCCGGGAGCGGTGTGATCGCCGATGCGAAACGAGGTGGGATGGGGTGAGCATTCACTCAGCCCCCCTCCACCTACACTACGCTCCCCAGGAGGGAATGAGCAGCGGGGGCTGCAGCTGAGCACGCCTTGCCCCGGAGGAACCATCCGGTTCGCCCCGAGGGTCGGCGATAAGAGGAAAAACACAAGATGGCGTTGTCCAGCGTGTAGTGACCTGTCACTGGGAAATGTTCCCCGACGCTTACCTTGGAATAAGACTGCTGTCATCTTCTCCTCGGGGAGGAGAACTCACCGGACGACCGGAGGTCGATTGCCGGGCCAAGCATCCTTCACAAGGTTGGTCATTTACACAATTTATCTTCTTTGTTCTTCTGACAGTGCTATATTAGCTCGCTGAAGAAAAAATGGGAGCCGATTTCCCGCTCTTAACGTAATTTATACGGACCGGGTGGGGCCCACACAGCAGGTGGGCGTGGACTAATTTTTTCAGTGCTTATGCTCTGCATAACGGGATAAACCCACTAAAGCGAAGGCCTTAAAGGGCGAAGCTTATACGACATAGAACAGTGGAGTTTTTTGCAAATGAAACAGATTGATTTATTGCTTGTGCTTGTTGAAAAATACACGAGAAGAAGACATTGGAAAATAATCACATATTAAATCGCAAGATTGAGGTAAAAAAAAAAAAAAGGCAATTAGAATATTTTCCAAAATCGTTCAGCTCTAATAGACACATACCCTTTTCTGCTTACTTTTATCTGTTCACTGAAATATCATGGGAAAAACAAAACTAGAAATGTATTTTATGTAGCTGCTGGTCTCTTCAAATCTAAAACACTAAGACGCAGTTTCTCAGATGGAAATTAAAAGCATGGATATCAATGTTCATAAACTCCCACCTTCAGATCAATTCCATGTTTTTTTTTATGTAATCTTAAAGAACGTGGAATAAAGTCTGGAGAGATGGAGGTATGCTGCTCCAGGGAGAAAAAGAATCAGTCTGTAGAAACAAGATAAATGTGTGGGAATAAGAGCATGGTGGAAACGCTGAAGCTGTAAATAATATAGATGTTGAAGATGGATGAGTTCAGAGGCCTGGGGTCGACCATTCAAAGGAACAAGCAGTGAACAAGAAAGGTAAAGCAGAGAGTGCAGACAGGATGGAGACAAGTGTTTGGGTGATTAGAAGAATACCTACAAGAGTGACAAAGAAAGTTTACAACATGGCAGGAACTGCTGTGATGTATGGTTGGAGTTGAAGGTGTCAGGAATAAAGATGTTGGAAGTTTTCACTGGAAGTGACCAAAATAGACAAGGTTAGAAATGAGTGGATCAGAGGTACAGCTCAGGTACCAGTGCCACTGGATTGGCAGACTGGGGTGGTGGTTCCCCTCATTAGGGTCCTAAAGGTGTCATGGGAGTTTTCCCATCCAGTCTATATATGTTTAGTAGACTTGGAGAATGTGTTTGACTCTCCCTAGCCGGACTCTCTCTTAGAGATAGTGTTCGACTGTGTTCCTCAGGGTACACTGTCGGGGGTGCTACCCGATTATGGGATTGGGGGCTCGTTGTGATGAGCTGTTCAGTCCCTATTGAAGCGGTGCAAGAGTTTGGTTTGCATTGGCCGTAGTAAGTTGGACCTCTTCAGGGTGGGAGTTGGACTCCACCAGGGCTGCTCGTTGTCACTGATTCTGTTCATAAGTTTTATGGACAGAATTTTTTGGTGCAGCCAGGGGGCGGAGGGATTCTGATTCGGTGACCTCAGGATTCCTTCTCTGCTATTTGCGGATGATGTGAGGTGAGGTTCTGCCTCAAGTGGAAGGGTTCAAGTATCTCGGGGTTTTGTTCACGAGCGAGGGAAGAATAGTGTGAGAATGACAGATGGACTGATGCAGCATCTGCAGTATTGAAGACTCTGTGTCGGTCCATTGTGGTGAAGATGGAGCTGAGCTGTAAGGCAAAGCTCTCCGTTTACTGGTCAGTCTACGGTCCTACCCTCAACTTTGGCAACAAACTCTGGGTAGTGACAGGTGAAGGCAGTTGAAATGAGTTTCCTCCACAGGGTAGCTGGACTCTCCTTCAGGGATAGAGTGAGAAGTTCAGTTATCTGGGAGAGACTCAGAGTAGAACCTCTGCTCCTCCACATCCAGAGGAGCCAGTTGAGGTGTTCGGGCATTTGGTAAGGATGCTCCCTAGGCACCAGGCATGTCCAACTGGGAGGAAACCCTGGGGAAAACCCAGGACATGCTGGAGAGACTGGGAATGCCTTGGAATCCTCCCAGAAGAGCTGGAAGAGGAGGCTGTGGAAAGAGATGTGTGGACCTCCCTGCTCAAGCTGCTGCCCCCAGACCTGACTTCTGAACAAGAGGAAGGTGATGATGGATATGCATGTATTTATTAAATTAGCTTAGATTTACAATAAAATATCAGTTTAGAAATGTTTAACTTTGACTGATGCAGTTTAAACATATCTGTATGCAATGTTGTGTTGAGATTTTATACAGAAACGTAAAATAAACGTAATAAACTTAAGTGTAATTATTTCTTCACAGCAGTGAGTTAAATAAATGGATAAAGTCAAGACGCTTGTTTGACGTCACTCCAAGGTTTCGCAGCTTTACTTCCGTCTTTATCCTGTTTAAAGACAGGTTGCTGGTTTGTCATTCATCATGCACGAGCAAACAAACACAATAGCAGTCTGACACGAGTGAAACATCTCTGTGATGATTAACCATGAGGTGAACAAACCGCGTTTTTACGTTTCCACACTACCTCCATTCTTGAAACCACACTCACCTCCCATGCTCGCAGTTTTGTTCGGGTATAAAAGTAAATTAGTTTCCCTAGATACAGAAAAACATGAAAAATCGTTAGCACTTCCGCGTCTTTCTTCTTCTTCAGATCCTTAGTGGCGCTCAGTATTTTAGGCGCTGCATTGCTGCCACCTGCTGGCGGCAGTGCAGTACTACAGCTGCTCCTGGACGTCTGGAGGGGATATGGAAAGTGCTGGCATCTTTAAAAAATGAGACAGTGATGAACCATTTTAAGCGTTTCTAATCTTTCCAGTGACATAAATTCTGTATAAACCAAATAAAAAATAAAGTAGTTTGTTGTAGGGCAAAATATAACAAATAAAAAAGTGCTACAAGCATTTGCACATCCTAAAGCTAATACTTTGAAGAGGATTATGATTGAATTACAACTTTCATCGTTTTTGGGAGCACACCTCCCAGCAACAAAAGTGATTTTAAACAATCTAAAATAAATTCAAGGGAGGTATTTTCTTTAATTTACTTAAGTGTCAAAAGTATCTCGTGATTAAAAATAATAAACCACTGAAGCCCCTCTGGTTAAACCAGAGAGAGCTTCAACAAAATGTGTGCACATGTATTGCACTGTTTAATGTTTTTTCTTTAATGCTTAGGCTTGTTAGTCAGCTGAATTGCACGATTTGTCACATTGAAGTGTGAATATATGAGATTATTTCATAGTTTATTACATTAAAAAACCCAGTAATTTGAACAGGTGTGTAAAGTTTTTTATATCCACATTCGATTTTTTATTTCAGTGAGTTGTTTTTTCCACAATGTCATTACAGTTCTACCAAGTCAATTACTGAGCAGATCGTCAGTGATCACACCAGCATGCTTCCTTACTGTAAGACTCCTGTACAAAGAACTTCCTTATGTTAACACTTTTGACAATCTTACCTCATCTCCTGATCACACAGCTGTTGTTACGGTCTATATGAAAAGTGCCTTGGGCATTTTCAGGAATAACCACTTCAATCTGTTTGTTTTTGGCAAGTTTGTTTAAGTCATTCCTCTGCACCTCTAATGCATCTATTTTTGGTCATGCAAATTAAAAAGACTCAGCATATTTAGCCATTTCTAAAAGACCACCAACCTTTCCCACCTTGTTGTCTACGGAAGAACTGAACAGAAAAGTGCCTTCTATTCACACCTGATGCAACTTTGTGAAAGCTTTGTTCCACACACGTTGTGATCTTATTCATGTCGCCTTGACTGTCTAATGCATCCAAAGTATTAATAATAGTAAAAACAAACAATCAAAATAAAACTTTTGAACCAAGCCATAAATCTAATTACTAAATAAAAGACACACAAAAAGCCTCCTTCCTTGGGGTTTTATATATAATAATAATAATAATAATAACAGTAAAAAGATGACACCAAATTAAAAAAAAAATCCCAAATTAGTCCTAAAACTTTTGTAAAATATTTATTTGAATTCAGCTTGTTTACATTTGTTAATAAAATATATCCAAAAATAATTGCATTTAATATATTTTTTACAAAAACATTTTTTTTTAAGATAAATGTCACAAAGTGAAGTTTTTCTGTATTTTCCCTTTAAATGTCACAAGAGTGCATAAACAGTTTTACTGCAGACATTACAGTAAAAAGATCCAGATTCTGATTCAGAACGTACTCTACAGTCTAACTGCCCAGACAATGGCACATACTGGTGTAGGTGCAAAGTGCACATCTGAAGATCCAGACTGGAAATTAAAAGGGTGGGGATTGGTTGCACAACTGTTTGGCACCAGTATGCTGGAAACTTTTTTTTTGTGCTGTGTATTTCCTAGAGCAGAGGACTTCCTGCTTCCTTGCTGTGTCAGTAAAACTTACTGCATCCTCAGAAAGTCCCTCAAGCAACAACTTCCCACCTCACTGACAGGCAGGAAAATGTTCTAGATTAATCACTAATTAAATATGTACCACCCGTTACACACAGACAAATACTGCATGTATTGAATTAAAGACAAGATCTCAAATAAGAGTCGAGGAACCTTAAAAAAAGACAGTTTCAGTGCTGAAATACTTGCACCATAACCAGCAGGTTACTATCTGTCACATCTCAGCATGATAAATGTTTAAAACCTCCTAACTCAAACAGTATTGTAAGCTCGGAAAGGATTTCAGGTCTTGTGCATCATGAAAAAAACTCCAGCTGCTGGCATTTAAGAAACTGACTCAAGAGTTTAAAATAGAGCCCGACCGATATATCGGTAGGGCCGATACTTTAGGCCGATACTTTAGGCCGATACTTTAGGCCGATA